ACAGAAAACAGAACTTACCCCTCTGTAATGTTATGCAAACGGTGTACAAAGATCAAAATTCAAACTAACACTGCTACTCAATGCTCTATATTGTCACCAATTAATTAATCATTATTGGGGTATGAAGATTTACATGACCACCAAAGTTGTAGATAGACTATCTATAAACATGGGTTATAATTTTGAGCCCTCCACAGTTTTAACAGGACAATTATATTGACAGAAGACGTAAAATGTGTATCAGAACAACAAAACGTAGTTTCCCAGACCCAGGAAAAAAAGATAATGCTACACAGGGCTCAACATTGTCTTTTGAGAGATGTACTCAGACTAACAATAAAGCAGACTTAATTGTGTCTATTACACAAACAGACGAATCAACTTTAAAGGTTGTACACACAGAAAACGCAACTCAACCCTATGTAATGTTATGCAAACGGTGTACAAAGATCAAAATTCAAACTAACACTGCTACTCAATGCTCTATATTGTCATCAATTAATTAATCATTATTGGGGTATGAAGATTTACCTGACCCGGGCAAAGTTGTAGATAGACTATCTATAAACATGGGTTATAATTTTGAGCCCTCCACAGTTTTAACAGGACAATTATATTGACAGAAGACGTAAAATGTGTATCAGAACAACAAAACGTAGTTTCCCAGACCCAGGAAAAAAAGATAATGCTACACAGGGCTCAACATTGTCTTTTGAGAGATGTACTCAGACTAACAATAAAGCAGACTTAATTGTGTCTATTACACAAACAGACGAATCAACTTTAAAGGTTGTACACACAGAAAACGCAACTCAACCCTCTGTAATGTTATGCAAACGGTGTACAAAGATCAAAATTCAAACTAACACTGCTACTCAATGCTCTATATTGTCACCAATTAATTAATCATTATTGGGGTATGAAGATTTACCTGACAACCAAAGTTGTAGATAGACTATCTATGAACATGGGTTATAATTTTGAGCCCTCCACAGTTTTTACAGGACTACATACGGATACCACTATTCAAACCTCTGAAATAACTTACGACAATTATTGTACACAGACCAAAATTAAAGCTAAGTTTATTGAAACACAAACTGATAAATCTTCATTCAATTTGCCCATAAATGTTGTATATTCAGAAACCGCTGCTGAGTGCTCTAGAATGTCCCCTATTATGGAATCAATTTGGGACTCTATAGATTTACCTAATGATGGCGCAATTCTGAAAACTCTATTAATGATCATGGTTATAAAGTTAGCATCCGTTTGTGAGCCACCTACAGTTTTAACAGGTATTTATAAGTAAATTCGTTTTTTTAGCTTCGATGCGAAGCAGAAAAGTTATTGGTTTTATTATGATTTTTTTTTTTGTTGATGTATTTACCTATCATTTATTATATTTATTTTTATAAATCTGACCATTTACCTGCNTTTTTTGAGTCTGTTACTACTTTTTCTTAGCTCTCACCGAAAAGATTTCCTTCAATGATACGTCAAAAGATCATAAATCGTATCTAGTCGAAGACATTACCCTGAAAAATTGAAAAAATTTCCCTAGTTCCCCGTAAATAGGGGAAAATCTCCAAAAAAATTACAAATGTTAAAATTGATAATTTTTTCTATTTTTTTTACTTCAAACTGCCATAACTTTCTTTAAAATGAAAAAATCAATATAAGTTTTTTTTTTTGTTGATGTATTTACCTATCATTTATTATATTTATTTTTATAAATCTGACCATTTACCTGCCCTCAGAGTGCATTTAAAATGACAACTAATTAGATTTAACTAAAAGTGTCTTGTATACAGATACGGCCACTCAGTCTGCTTCGTTGTCGCCAATTTAAGAATCAAATTTGGAGTCTGAAGATTTACCTGACCCGGGCAAATTTCTAGATAGACTATCTATGAACATGGATTATATTATTGAGCCACCTCAATGACAACTAATTAGATTTAACTAAAAGTGTCTTGTAAAAAATGTGTATTTGAGTTTTCATCATTAAAACTACCGTTTAAAATATACATAACATATTTTAAACATATTTTTGTGTAAACCTATAAACTACCATCTAAAATAAAATAATTTTTTTTGTGACATTTTCACTGAAGGGGGAGTATGTAGCGTGATACCACATATCACCTATTGATCCTCTCTGGTAAGAGAAAAAGGTTATGTTCTCTATGGTGTCAATTATTAGTATATATTTTAGTTATATATTTCATTTTTGTATTTTATATAGTGCGTTATAATAAATCTTATTAATAACAGAACGCTATAGGTATTTATAAGTAAATTAGTTTTTTTTTTTAATTAAATATAATAATAAATTTGTCTGTCTTAATTAATGTATTATTTTATTCATACAATCTAATAAAACTTATTTTTATTAATACTATTTTTTGGCATGTTACAATTGAAATATTGATAAACTAGAGGCAATTACTCAACAAGTTAAAACGTCAGATTTTTATAAACCAGCTCTGTAACTGAGTTAACTGATTCAACTTTAAATGAGATGTATAAAGAACCTGCTACTCATCACTCTATAATGTCACCTTTTGTGGAATCAATTTTGGAGTCTATAGATTTACCTGATGAAGACATAATTCTGAATACATAACTTTTTATTATGTGGAAATTGTATTTTTGTATTTTGGTTAAAACTTTAAACACAAGAATTATAAAAGTTGCTTAATAAACATATTATAAAATTGTTTCTGTTTATCTTTGTTAGTTAGGGAAGCATCAAAATACTAATATATATATATATATATATATATATTAGTATAGATATATTAGTATAGAATATTTTAAACATAGCATTTATTATTAGACGAGGTTATGTCATTGATTTTTCTTTAAAAAGATAAGAGCTTTTGTATGCCATCTATTATAATGTTATTGATAAAAAGTTATGTATAGTCTTCAATCTGTGTCATTTAAATAAATATAGTTAAAAAAAACTAAAAAAACAGTCTTTTTAAGTACATTGAACTAAAAATTATTTTTAACTTTTTAGTTCGATGTGCTTTAAAAGCGTGTTTTTTATTTTTTTTTAACTATAATTTTTTTTACATAAATAGCTCAGTATGCATATTTTTGGCTAAAATATTGTTAAGTACAGGGACACTAAATATTATAGTGCGTACCCGAACCGGCTAAAAGCACTTAATATCGATCAGACTGTATTGTGTAATGCCGTGTAAATAGTCACTGGTGGTGGGAGGGTTCGCTTGCACAAAATCAGTGATCTATGTTATGAATGAATGTGTAAATGTGATTTTGTTTTGTGTGTTTAGAACTCTTAAATTTATTGATGTAGTTTAAACTTGACTTCAGTATAATAATCTTTTAATAATTAATTAAGAATGTAAATTTAGCTTATTAAAAATAATAAAAATGTATTAAATGCTTAAAAAATTGCAATTAATGTAAAAAGAAGTAGTACTCAATTTAACTTATTTATATTAATAACGCTATGATAATGAAAATAACTAATTATTTTATTTTTTATAATTGCTACAAATGGTGCAGCCAAAGTAAAAATTAATATTTNAAATAATATAATTAATTTAATAATGTAGTGTTTCTGTAGCCACGTGACCCTGACGTTGCAACATATACGATCAATTCGCCCTATTACTAACAATGCAATCGAAATATAATATAACTTTCGATGCATAATCAAACTATCGATAATGTCGGAGTTATTACCACATTTTATTTTTTATTAAATGTCGGAGTAAAATCCGTCGTGGTTATGGTTACCTATGGTATCAGATAGTCGGAGTACCAGATGTTCGTAATAATTACTACTTTGTCAAATGTCGAAGTATGTAAATGTCGGAGCATCATCAGTTCGTGGCAAAGGTGGGATCCCGGCAAACAACTGGTTAATACTATTAATTTAAAAAAAAAATAACTAAGTGGAAATGTACAATTGTTGCGCTATTGACAATTTATGATAACCGGGTGAGGAATTCACTGCTGTCGAACTGTGTGATTGAAATAACTCGGAGNCCTATACAAAACTGTAATATACTTTTTTTTTATAAATATTCGTTTTAAGTTAATTAAGAGTACATTTGTATGTACTTTACACAAGTATTAAGGACAATAGGACAAGGCATCAAAAAAGTGTACGTCTGGTCACCATAGATATATAAGATGTTTACTGCAGAAATGGGACATGTCATGGACATGTTCCCATTCTGCAGTAAAGTGAAATTTCCAAACACTATATTTAGCATTTAGGTAGTCGGATTTGACTTCTTTCTACAGTAAACGATGTATTTACGAGTGCTTAACAAAAAATGATAATAAAATCAAAATTGATAAAAATGGACTTGTCCCGTTTCTGCAGTTAGCGATTCACTTGTCCCATCTATGCCTCGTCTACACTGTGCCTCGACCCCACTGTGCTACCGTTTTTATTATTAATATTACTAAACATTTAATTATTATGATACGAGTATACACAATTATTCTGAATCTGTTGAACATTGATTTTTCTCCCAACAATCTTTGTGTATTTATTACATGTTTTGTTCTTATTTGTTCCATATCATCGAGTAGTGGAAATTCTCAATAGATTATTTATTTTTAAAACTTAATTGCACAGTCGGTGGTAGATCCACATAATTCCAATTCCAAAATATTATATCTATTATAACATTGCATTTACGATAAAACAATATTTTTATAAAAATAGAAGTCCAAAAAAAAAATTATAACGTTACAAGTCGCGTAGGTGTAAATATGACTCATTTCAATTTTGATGAATATTTGAAGTCATACATTTTTTTTTCGAAGGTATTTATTTATGAAAATCGATTTAATATTACTATAAAAACCATCTTTTAAATTTATATCTATGTACACCTTTTATGCAATATAATACATCCGTTTTTATTTATGTGGGGGTATGCTAGACCCCCACGCGACTGTTAACAACGTTAAATCAATTCCATAGAATAAAATGCACATGTGGTGATAAGATGTTATCAGAGTAGTACAAAAGATGTATGATTACTTGAAGCATTTTTAAAATATTTACGATGTTCTGTGTTGAGTTGATGTTCGCATGCTTCTGTTGTTAAAGGTTTTACCATTATACTTTTCTTAGCATGTTTTTTTATTTATTACCAGTAAATGTTATACGTCTATGTTTTATTACTGGTAGTCGATTTACTAGTCTATCAAACAAAAAAAATTTGGACTATTTAAATAAGAGATCATTATTTACTAGTACTGTATTAAATCACGGCGAATATGAATGGCTAGATCCAAAAGATGAAAATGATGTTGTTTATGTTACTTTTATTGATAAAAATGGCAAACATACCAAAGTGAAGGGCAAGGTCGGTGATAATGTTTTATACTTAGCTCACAGGTAAAAAAATGCATTATTAATACTTGTTAAAATTGGTGATTTGTCTTTAGCATTTTGTAACATTATAGCGTTTTAAACGGCACTATAATATGTTCAAATAAAAGTAGTGAAATTCTTTAGTAAAGACTGTGCTGATCGATTTCCTACATATTTTTGACACGATAATGGGGTAAATTACAAATTAAACAATAATTTTAGTTCTAATTCCTTTCACCTAAAAAGTATATCTATTTAAGTTTTTAATAATTATATGTATATGAATAGCATACATGTTAAAAAGTATCTAATTTGGTTAAATGATTATTTGTGTACCTAGGTAAGATGAGAATTAAACCTGATTTTATTTGTTTAATTTAATTAATTTAATTTAATTTTAATGAAGTTGTTGAAATAAATCAGTACCACAATATAATGTTTTATTTTATTATAGTAAAGTGACATTTCTTTTTAAATTGTTTAAGTACTAATATCAATTTCAGGTATGGCATTGAACTTGAAGGTGCATGTGAGGCTTCATTAGCTTGTACGACATGCCATTGTTATGTCTTAGAAAATTATTTATCAAAACTCCCTATAGCTAGCGAGAAAGAAGACGATTTATTGGATTTGGCACCATTTTTAAAAGAAAATTCACGGTTGAGTTGTCAGATAATTTTAGACAAAAGTTTAGATGGAATTCATCTTGAATTGCCTGTAGCCACTAGAAATTTTTATGTTGATGGTCATAAACCTAAACCACATTAAATTTGTTTATTTGTTATAATTATTGTTAGTAAAATATTATTAGTTGTTATTATTAAAATGGAATATTCAGAAGAAGCCCTTAAAGTATCTATCAAAGCAGTAGAATATGATCGTAAAGGACAATTACAAGCTGCTATTTATTATTACAAAGAAGCAGCTACACTATTAGAATTAGCTTGGAAAATAAGAAAAGATGATCATTTAGCTGATCAGTGGTGTAAAAAATCACATGAGTATATAAATAGAGCAGAAACTCTTGAATATCAAAGTAATTAGTAGATTTATTTTCATCAGATAGTATTTTAATTGTACATTCCAAATAACTATAATGTTAAATCTTAATATAAAAAAAAATAATGTATGTTTTTGATCATTTAAAAGTAAAAATTAAATGTAATGTACAATTTTTTTTTAGGCTAGTTATTGAACAAAAAAGGATTTAAGGATAGACTAATTTTTAAAAATTAACTTCTTATATCTGTATATAAAGTTTTTAATTCCATCTACTTTTGAAATTTAATATTTTTAGTAATGTCAAATAAAAAATAAACTTGTTAGATTAAATTTAAATTTAAAAAAAATTGGAATTGAATGGAATATTAATTGTTTTTAGTATATTTAAATGTCAACATAACATATTTTGTTATTAAAGTCAAGTTTTATATATCAACAAAATTGCTTAACTATGATGTTAGACTGTTAAAATTTCCAAAAATATCTATAGTTTTTACTTATTGGGATGTATTTAATAACTCAACCAGTTACCTTATCTTCTTTAGCTACTAATATTTAAAACTAAATATTATAATATAATATAATATTATAATATAACATAACTTTCTCAGATTAAAAGTTCACCCCCCAAAAAAAAATTATTTTTCAAATGTTTATTACAATTTTTATATAATTATAGTTATGGAAAATATTATCTATTCTTTAGGATTGGTTCTCTTAAATTCAAATTATAAATAAAAAGATTTATTTTGTTAATTTATTTAATATTTTTTAGAATGATTTTTTATGGGAAATGTTGCCCATAGTTCTTAATTTTTGCTCTTTAGTATTTCTATTAATAGATCTTTAAATTTCTTTTATACACAATAATTTTATAATCTAAAATTAACATCTAATAAATTTAGATTTTAATGTAGTTTAGTATAGTGGAACATTCAGTTGCTACCTTAGAACTGATATTCAGATGTGCTGTTCACTTTTAGTTTTCGGTTGGGAGACTATATTTGAACTTTAACAATGAAATACACCTAATCGTCTTAATAGTTTCCTCAGCCATCATAAAATTGTGTCAAGTTTAATAGCCAGTGTAAAAATCTTCTAATTTTCAAAAAATAATAAAAACAGTAAATTTTAAAGTGTATAACTATTTAAAAAGAGTAATTGAGAAAATTTAATTTCAAATTAAGTTATTGATAAACAAAATATAATGAAAAAATGTTAAATTATGTATTTTTTTATTACATAATTCTAAAAGAAAGAATGAAAAAAGAGTTTCACTATTATTTTCAAATAAAACAATACATATATTTTGAATAATTTACATACGCCATATTACTTTGTCAATTACAAAAAAAAATTTTATGTTTTAATTATTACTTATTTAGTAAGTCATAAATACCTTATTTGACGTAAAATATCTAATTACTTATATCACCAGATTTGTTTATTCCTATTGTATTTATTGCATTGGTTCTGAAAGAATTATTTAACCCAAAATAGTAAAATTATATAAAAATTTACAATTCTAATGTCCTAGCTCTAATATTAATTCGGCCTAAAAATTTAATATTTATGTTAAATTTTAATCTTTATGATTGAAAATGTTTAGTTCAACAAGATGCTGCCAAAGAAATAGAAAGTATTAATCAAGATAAAATCTTACTAAAACAATGTAAATATTTATTAAAACAGGCTCTAGATATTGATGAGACAGGGAAAAGAGATATGGCTATTAAAGCTTATATGCAAGCTATTGAATTTACATTAAAAGTGGTAAATATCAGATATATATCTAATTCTAAAAACTAGAGTAATGCTTTTAATTTTTAAACAAGTGAATTTTTGTGTTTTAGAAAAAAGAAATATCTGATGAAATTATTGTAAACAAATTAGCTGTATTAATTATTAAGTCTTTAGATAGAGCAGAAAAATTAAAAGAATCTAAATTGAAATGTGATACTAATTCAGGTATTTAAGTGAATTAAATACAAAGTTAAGTCAATTTCAATCTATGTCATAGGGGCAACTAGGTGGGTTAAGCCTCTCTAGAAATGAATAATTAGCCCACAAACAATTTATAAAATGATATTTAGTTTTATATAAAAAAAATAATTTAGCATCCTTATAAACTTTATCCTAGTTGACCTATGATTGTTAAATTGTAATTCTGACATAATATTATTAAACAATTAAATTAAATTTGTTGGCTAATTTTTCTTTATATAGTTAATCAGTAAGTAAGAAAACAGTTGTTACAAAGAATGAAAACAATAGAAACCCGTTTCCTTACTTACTGAACAACACATAATATAAACTTCTTAGTGAGTAGCTTTAAAAAAAATATTTTAAGTTATTTATTTTGAATTAAAAATTATTAAATGATAATTTCTACCAAAATTAATATAAAAATATTAATTTCTTGAGTTATTTTACTTAAAACATGCAAGCTATAGAATTATAAATATAACATTAAAAAAAAAAAAAAAAAAAGTCAAATAAATTAATAGCTTTATTAAGTATTAAATCAACAGTTTCATATTTTTACTTATTTTAAATTAAGTTTTATAGTTCGTTCCTCTTTCTAGTGTGCACAAATAAAATGATTATAAAAAATGTAACATATCAATTAAAAATACCAAGTGATAGTTTGTACACAGAATCTGAAAAACGAGTTTTATTAATCACGTCCAAAATAAATAATAAGGAATATGTGCCATTCATGGATGTTGATCTTTTAGAAAGGTAAAATATGTATTAAAAATATTTTATACTTTTGATGTGTTTCAAAAGTACCTGACAATTTGTAATAAAATGGTAAATGTTAATGTAAAGTAGAGTGATCCTTGATTTTAAATATTAAATTTTTTATTAGTCTTTCCCTCCAAATCGGATCATATATGTACAAAAAGAAAGTGCATAATATTTGGAGTTGATTGGATAAGTTTAACACCCGTGTCCCCATTCATTAAAGTTGAAGAACACTTTTTTGCTGAATTAACCATGTTTTTTTTTAATTTTCGATATACAGTTTATAGTTATAATTTTATATTTTATTAAAATTTATTCATATAAAAATATATATAATTTAAAAACAAAATACTGTTAAATATAACAGTGGAAATGTAACCTAATTTTTCATTAAATATAGTAAATACTAGTTAAAAAAATTGAGTTAAAAATTAGAATGATTTAAAAATAATTGATTTCACAAACAGTTTGGATATATACAATGATAATCTTCTATAATTTGAAGCACAAACTGTTTTTGATCTTCATTTTTTGATAATATTGTAGCATTGAAACTCCTTCATACCTCCTCTTTTGGCCGTGTCATTGCTAACACAAAGTGTCTTAACAANTATATATATATATAAAATATTTATTAATATCAGAAGAATTGTTTAATATTATAGCTTCAACTATTTAATTTTAGTTTGAACTGTTAAATTAGTATCAATAAATGTCAATGTTAACGTTTCAGGGCTAAGTACGACAAATGTCTATATATATATATTTTTTTAATGTTGTTTGAGATATACTTTTATCTATATTTTGATAGTGAATAAAACTTTAAAAAAATTAAGACCTTGAAAGAAGCTAATGAAGCAACAGGTGCACAAAACCATGGTTTAATATTTAATCAAATGAAAAATATACAAATATTACGCAATGAATTTTTTTCACTTTTTAATAGTTCAAATTGATTACAGAATTTACATAAAATGCAGCTTTAAGTTTGATTTTATAAATATGATGTCTAGAGGGAAGTAAATAACATCACATTCTAATATCTGTTCAAAAATTATACACGCTCCTGGCATGACAACCTGTGTTCTAAGCTAATGTATCACAACATACATCTTGTATATTTTTGATAAGACCCATTCCTTAAATGCTTGAAACACTGCTGTTGCTTGATTTTGACCAGTTTCTGGTACAAGCTTAGGTATACTTTTAAAAGTTTATCCGAATTTTTAAAAGAAATACTTGTTAATAATAAACTGGTTTTAAATAAATTGTATCCTTGTTAAATTTGGATCTTTCTATTCTATTAAACAACAATGAATTTATTTTGAAGATTATCTGCTCTATCCTTCTTTAAGCGTAGATGTATTCAATTAATAGAAATTTAATTCATAACTAAATTACTTATATCAACATAAAAAACTTCAGTAGCTGCAGACAATATATGAACTGCATGGAGACCACTTATTTTACATCTATTCAATAAACTTGCAAGTGTTGATAAAATGGTTTTTACCTCTGAATTGAGGTGCAGTCCTGGAATTTAGATATTTTTCAACAGTGTCTATTGATTTGTCATTATCCTCAATATCAGTATCACTATCAGAATTTAGAGCTGACATTTTATGTTAATAGTATGTTCTGTATTAAATCAAATATATGTAATTTATTAAATTAATTTTTACTTGATAATTCCATTTTTTCTTAAGCTTGTTTTTTCTTTTTAACTGTTTCCAACCGCTTTTCTGTTATTTTTTTAGTTTTTTGTAAATTTTTTTCTATGTTATTCATGCAGCCAATTTTGCCTTATTTCTTTAAGATAATAAAAAAAAATACTTATCTAAGTTAATTTTTATGCAAAATTATGTGCAATATCAAAAAGATAATCTAATCCCTCAACAATTCTCCTCCTTTATTCTGATACTCTGCATTATTTTAGATCTACTCTAATGGAAGCATGGCTCACTAAGTGGCCTTATCTCCCCAACAGCTTTGCCCAATGGCATTGGTCCATCATACCTAGCCCTTCCAAAATTCCTTGGTTCCATCAACTAGATCTTACTCGCAATATCATTTCAAGCTTTTCACGACTCAAACTGGGTCATAACCTTTTACCAGCATTTGCTTACAAATTAAACCTGAACTCTGTTCCCTTTTGCCATTTACATGAGGATGAAGTCCTCGGAGATTTTTCTCACTATTTATTGAATTGCTCCTCCTTGGCGCCTGCTTATTAAATTTTTAGAATCCAATAGAATTTCCAATTTTGTTCCCTCTGTTGTACTAAATTTCCATTCTATTCCCGTGAATACTGCTATAATTTCTTTTATATTGAGCGCTGGTTGTACTATTTAACTACTTTATTATATAGTATAATTTATTGCATATACTTTACTTTTATTATACTAACTAACACCCATTATTCTTGTAATTAATACTATATTATCGAGCTATAATATTTTCTTAATAAAAGCTAATAAAAAAAATTTTAAAAATCCCTCAACAAAAGCAACTTGTTTTTTTTAATTTATTTCTGTTTTTCATGATGCATATTTCTGTAAAGTTGTCCATTCATTATAAAGTTATACATGTATTTTTATACTATTGTAATCTCGTCTAACTAGAATTTCCAAAAATACAGTGATCTCTTGAATAACAAGTTTAACATTTTTATGTAAGTTAAGTTTGATTTTACACATACTGAAAAATAATACATGTAAAGCTTGTTTTTTAGAATGTAATTTGATGTTGATATCGAGCCATGTTGGACAAGAATCCTCAGATTGTTTTACATATTACATTATTATGTTGGTTAAATTATACATTACAGCTCTTAATCGTATTTTTATAGTTTTAATGAAATATTGTTAAAGAACTTCAAAAAAAATAATTTATTTATTTTAGGCAGGGGCTCAGGTTAAACTTAATTATTCAACTTCAAATTTTATACATTTTATTTTTATACATATTAAAATCATTTAAGAGGGTACGACTGACAAAAAAAAATTATCTATATGTATTTTGGAGGACCACTCTAAATCTCTACACTATAGAGATTTATCTCAATTTTAAATTAGAGGTTGTTAAATAGATTTTTGCATAGATAATTTTTTAAGTTATAAATATAAATAGACATTATCACATTTTAATTTTCACATTATTTTAATGTGAAAAGAGAGCTATTTATTTATATAATTAAAGTATTAAAATCCAATTTGTTCATTATACTCAATCATTTTTAAATGATAGTAGTTATTTTACAAATTGAAAAACAATTTATAAAATAAATTTTTGTATAGTGTGATTAAGAAAATAAATATGTTTAATTGAAGTTTTTTAGATAATGATAGCTAAAGTTTCTCTTTTTGGATAATTATTACAGATTTCAATTATCTATTCGATTTACTGACAATGATGGTTTATTACCATTATCATATGAGCAAAAGAAACATTTTGATCAATGGTTACGTCCTGATCAACTGTGTTCAGATCCAAAAATGATTGTTGGAGATTACATTGATTTTTATAGCATTAAGCAAACGGTAATTATTAAATTAAATATAATATAATATGAAGCAATAATATATTTAAAATTAGGAGAAAATAAAAAATTAAGTTTGATATATTATGTTTTTATTTAGCTATTTTTAAATCTACATTAAATTTGAAATCAGCTTTAGTATGCATTTATAGATAATATTTAACACGGTAACAAAGGTTTAAATAAATTTTTTATGTTAAAAAAAATCGCTTTTTTAAAAAAGCTGAATTGGGTTCATATTCTAATATGTGATCTTTTATTTTTATATAGTTAGTTTAATAAATTTTAATGTTACTTAGGTGGTTACTGATTGTTCTTTTGTTGCATCTTTAGCTGTTTGTGCAGTGTATGAGAAACATTTTAAAAAAAGACTAATTACATCCATAATATATCCTCAAAAAAAAAATGGTCAGCCAGTTTATAATCCTTTTGGTATGTACATAATGAGAATTTTATTTTATATTGAAATGTAATCAAGTAAGTTAATTAACATTGATAACAACTTTTGGACCAGTATTTCAGATGTTAACATTTTTATACCTTGGTGGGAAGAGAAGTGTGGTCGAGAAATGTGTAATGATAAATGTTGTTATCCTTCAACTAAACTCAAGTTTATATTTTGATATGGCAATAACTTCCGAAATAATGAACTAAAAATTGTTATTAATCAGTTATTTTCTTGATTAAATTGTTTTCTACTTTATAAATTGATCCAAATATACATGTTGTCATTAAAAAAAATTAAGTTGACACCCTTATAAGGTATAAGGGATTATTAAAAAAAGTAATGAATAACTGTTAAATCAAGAAATATATAAAACTAAAAATACCTAAAATAATTTTCTTAATATAATTATTCTAAGAAAAATCAAACGGTTAGCATTAAAAATGTTAGGTTTTTTAACATTTTTGTAGATGTACAATTTATGTTAATTTTTTTTTATGGTTGAAATTTAAAAAATAATATAGGTTGATATTGAACAAAAAAAGTTATTATTCTATTTTAATTACAATCATCAATAATTAGAAAACAAAATAACTCTGAAGTAGTATTACATTTTTTTAGTATACTGACTTATTACATAAATAATACAAAATATTGATTTAAGGTTGTTTTTAGGTAAATATATGATCAAATTGCATTTAAATGGTATTCAAAGGAAAGTTATAATTGATGATCGATTACCAGCTGGAAAATATAATTCATTACTTTGTTCACATTCTTCTAATAAAAATGAATTTTGGGTATCTCTTATAGAAAAAGCATACCTTAAAGTAATGGGTGGTTATGATTTTCCAGGATCTAGTAGTGTAAGTAATAATAAAATGTTTTATAATTTCTTAGATATAAATAATTTGAAAAAATAAAAAATGTTTAGAACATAGATTTACATGCATTGACAGGGTGGATTCCAGAAAGATGTGCAATTCGAGTAAGAGATGCAGAATTCAATGCTGATGGTCTTTTTGAATTGATGTGTTCGAGATTAAATAAAGGTGATGTTTTAATAACTGTAGCAACCTGTCCAATGGAAGTCTCAGAAGAAAAACGTACGGGTCTTGTTTCTTCACATGCTTATGCTGTTTTAGATGTAAAAAAAATTGATGTAAGATGAAAAAAATATTAAAACTTGTTGATGTAGTTTTTAACATAACTTTTATAAACATGTAAATAAAAAAAATATGTTATTTATTGTTTTTGTAAATTGTGGGGATTAGAGCAAAAGTGGTTTAAGTCAATTTTTGGGTAAAATGAGTTTGCATTGAAAATAAATATTTACAACTTATCTTTCCTTTGAAAGTAATGATAGTATTAAAATTTGGTTTTTAGCAATTATTGTTTTTGCTCTAATATAATCTACTACTGTTAATCCTTATATGATTAAAATATTTCTAACTCCTGAAAAATGATAAAATTTGATTTCACCATTTTTGCTCAAATCCCATTATTATTTTTTTAATTTTAGAATTTGAAATTATTTAAATTAAAAAATCCCTGGGCTCACGTTCGCTGGAAAGGTCACTATTCTGATTTAGATGAAAACAGTTGGACTGATCAACTTAAAGAAGCATTAAATTATGACTCTATGAGTGCATCATCATTTGATAATGGAATTTTCTGGATTGATTATACTTCCATATTACATTATTTTGATGTTTTTTGTATGAATTGGAATCCAGAATTATTTCCATTCACTTCATGCATACATAAGTATAATTACATATATAAATTTGAAATTTTCAAATAGCCCAATAAAACTTTATATTTTTCTGAGCACCATTCATTTTAGTTTAAAAATTAATTTTTTAAATAATTTTAGAACTTGGAATGCTGGAACTGGTCCCTTATCAGACTTGTATAATATGAGTGAAAATCCCCAATATTGCTTGGATGTTAAAAATATTCATAATGGAGCAGTGTGGATTTTATTAACTCGTCATATAACTGATATACAAGATTTCAAAGAAAATCGTGAATATATTACTATGTTAGTATACAAAAATGAGGGAAAGCGTGTTCACTATCCAAGTATGTAAATTAATTTTAATATGTAACTTAAAAATCTTTTCCAGGTCAAAGTATGATTTTAAAAAAATCAATCAATTTATTTTTTCATAATTTTAGATGATCCTGAACCTTATTTATCAGGAACAAGAATTAATAGCCCTCATTATCTTAGTAAAATTCTTCTTAATAAAAATACTTCTAAATTTACATTAGTTGTCTCTCAATATGAAAAAATGAATTCAATACATTATTCATTACGAGCTTATGCCACTTGTCCATTTACCATGGAAGAACTTCCAGATTTATACAACATAGCTTTTAAAAAGGTACTTGTTCATCAATAGTTAATAGTTGAATAATTTTTATATAGGTGTTTAGTAAGTAAGAAAATGGGTTTCTATTATTCCTATTGTTCGTAACAACTGACCTATTTCCTTACTTACTGAACACTATAATAATACAATTTGATAATTATGTCAAAAATATTTAATTAGACCATAAATGGTGAGTGGAATAATACAACATCTGGTGGATGTCGAAACCATAATTCATTTAATAAGAATCCTAAGTTTAAACTTGTAGTTGATGGACAATCATCTAATAATGAATTATTAAAAATAGAACTAAAAGCACCTAAACAGTATCAAGTTGGATTTGAAATATGTTGTGTAGAATTAGCAGATAACACTTTAACAGCAAAGTTTAAAAGCAAATCATCAGGAAACTATAGGTTAGTTGTAATAATATGTACTAATATAATAATTAATTTATATTTATTCACACACAATACACATCTGAAATACACTTAAATTATAACTTTTACCTTCTAAATATTAAAAAAAAAATTATTTTTACTATTACATAGTGTTGGGCAATTATATTAATATTGATATTTTGATAAAACATTGACATTAGAACAAAAGTTTGATAATAATATCGTTTTATAATAGTTTGATATATCATAATATTAAATTACACAAAATATTTTTTTTTGCGAATTTTAAAATGTAATGTCATTGTGGTAAGGTATTAAATTACATTGTTCTCTTGTAAAATATTTCAATTGTGTACATAAACTCGTACCTAAGAATAATCTGTTAGCTAAAATTTAATAAAAAGTGGTACATGATTGTTTTTTATTAAATAGTTATAAGGCAATTTCTAAACATTAAAAATGAAAACTATTGGTAGCAATAAAAATTAAAATATATTTTTTTTAAATATAGTTTTAAAAATGATTTTAATATTGCCAAAATTAAAAAAGTATAAATAACTGCCCAAACACTATGCAATGTGTATTTAAGCAAGATCAATTAATAATTTCATTTAAATGATAATGTTCATAAGATAATCTTATTAATTCAAATTTAATTATAAATATCATTTTTATTTATTTATAATATTATATTTAGATTTAAAACATTTTTTATCAAATTATTTTTTTATTTCTTAAAAAATGAAAAATTACCAAGAAAAAGGTAATTTCCTCATTTATTTTAATTGTTATTGATAAAAAAATAGTTTGAGAATTATTTGTTTAAAAATAATTAATCATTTGATTTTTTTAAATTACGAGTGAATATATTTAAATATTTTCCTCGAGTCATTTCTTTTGACTCTTCTAAACCTAAGTTATAAGCAAAATCATAAAGTGATTTTAATTCATCTAAAAGTGGAGCCAGAGGCATTTGGCTGTAACGATGTACTAATATCATATCATGAGCATCAGGTGGTTGTTTCCAAGAAGGTTGTTTTTCATTTGAAGATGATGAACGAATATGTTGAGCAAAACCAGACATGCCTGGCATAGGTTCTGGCCATAATTCCGGTGATGACCGATCAAGAGTTTCCATTGCCTTTAAGTCCAGACACTGCTGTTTTTGTTGATCAAGTTCTGGCATAGTCTTCTCAACTGAGTGGATAATACAATATTCTCTTCGACTTTGACATTCGGCTTTATTATGTACAAAATGAAACAAATAAATAGAAATATCTTAGTTAATCTACTATGTAGAAAATAAAAGTAAAATTAATTTCACAAATAAATCAAGTAATTAAATAATATTATACAGAATCAAAATACTAAAAATTTAACATTTCAAAGGTATTTTAAAAATTATTAATAATTTTATATTTATAAACTATTGCATCATACAGTGCTACAAATGTCTTGGGTTGTGAATTCAAGTATTACACTGTGATTTATTATTCATATGTTTTACAATATACTTTTGATGACTAGCTTTTATTTCATGGCAACCACATTACAATAAAGAAAACCATTAGTTGTGTTAATACTTCTAATTATATTGAAATTTTATTTTTTATTTTTAGGTCTGGTTATGTAGTAATGGAGCTAGAAGAAATCCAATCTGGAAGTTATCAAATAATACCATCCACTTTTCTACCTGGCCAAGAAGGGCCTTTTATAATTACTATAAATGCATCTTGTTTAATAACTTTATAATTAACTATATCAAATATAATTAACAATATTATATAATTATTTTTTTATTAGATATTTTAAATTATGTTTAGTTTAGAGTAATGTTCAAAATAAAGTACACAATATATAATTAAATGTATTACAATATATTATTTTTATTTGCCATTTTAAACAATTTTTTTTTTATATGTAAAGCCAATATTAGTTTTTTGTTACTAAGAAGAATGTATGTATATTCTTAATTTTTATCTTAAAACTTACAAAAATAAACAATATTTGTAATAAAGTTAATTAAACTAACATTTTTCTATGAAATTGTTATAATACATGTGTATTTTATTATAAAAATTAGATATTTTTCACATAATATTCTATTTTACAGAAAAAAATACAATTAACAATACAGACAATCAAATTTTAATTAATAGTTGTTGGAGTTTCATTTTGATTTTTATTTAGAAAGGGTAATTGTCCTCCAGCTATTTTGAATGCGTAGAATCCAGTTCCCATTGTTATTGTAAATACCAGTGATAATGTAAGTACATAATAATAGTATTGATTAAATAATGTAATTTCAGAAACAATTAAGTGTGAACAAAAAACATATGACATCAATTTTTTATTTTCTGTATTTAATCCATGGAAAAACAAGACTTGCCAAAAAATATGCAAAAATATTGTGAGAGCAGTAAAAATTGAAGATACCAAACAAAATACACTGTTGCCTCCGCGTAAACCCATCGTCCCTGGTCCACCAACTTCAGCTAAAATATTGATAAGTGAAAATAAGCCGCTCATTAGACCAAATCCCAAACCGGATACATAAGACAACATGTGTTTATTGCTAGACACGAATGAATGAACTGCAAATTGTTTCAGTCCTCTTTCTGCTTTTCTGAGTAATATATATAAAAAGTATCGAAAAAGCTCTTGAACTAAAACTGATAAACAAACTCCTACCCAGATATATTCTTTGATGGGAAATATAAACCATAATATAGATGAGAACAACAAGCTTAATAACCAGAAGAATGAACTAGCTATCAATATAATGACACGTACAGGATCATTCATAATTGTTATTATAAACATTGATAATGCAGGGCCAAATGCTGTTAAAGTGCAACCAGTAAATTCCATTAGGGTCATTTTGTATATTTATTTTTAATACGTTATTTTTTAATTCCTTATAATAAAATGACTAAATAAAAATACTAATGGACAATTATGACAAAAAAAGTTTGATGAATTTATGTAGTTTGTACTTAGTATTGGTCTTACCAGTTTAATTTGGCTCGTAAAGCTAATTAATTATTCTTCAACGATCTGAAATGAAAACAATGTTCTATGTATAATGAATATGTTAAAAATTTTAATATAATTTCTAAAAATTAAAACAAACAAAGAAATTGTAGACGTACTTTGTAAAATATTGTAAACAACTAACGTTGTTTAATACAAAACTATTATATAATTATAAATTAATATAATTGATATAATAAAATGTAAAATTGAGACATAATTTAAAATGAAAATAAATTTTTTGATATCCTAAAAAAATATTTAAATATTTAGCTGTAACTACATCGTTTTGAAAATATTAAGCTGATAGCGATTATTCATTTAAATGTATAGATTTAAGACGAATGCAAACTGCAAATTATATTATTAACCAGTGTAGCCATTTCTCAACTATAGAAACTAGATGGATAGTGTCGTTTGTTGATCTTTTAAATAATTTTGAAGCCTAATAACTAAATAAGTAATTATATTAAATTTTTTTTATTAAAAAAAATTATGCAGTTCAATTATATTTTGGTATCAGTTGTGTACCCAGGAGTTTTTAATGAGGGCTAATGTAAAAAAAAATATTTAGTGAATTTTTTTATTATGTGATTTTTGTCTAAAATATTGGTTAAAGCTAATAGGGTGGATTTAGTTTTTTTAGAACTCTGAATATGTCATTGTCTACTATGTTTGGATATCATTTTTAGTCAATACATATTTGTTAAACACGTTTGATAGCATATGAAATAATCTATTAGTAACTACACCTTATTATTTATTAGCTAATTAATTAATGTTTTCGGTAATTTTAACCTTAAAAATCACACATGAACATGTTTTTTTGCTGTAAGGAGAATACTTTACTTTTAAAAAAAAATCTAATGATTTATTTTTATGATAATTTTACTATAGTTTTGGAAATAGCGAACTAATTGTATCCCTCTATAAGAAAAATTCCAAAACCATCATTTACAAAAGTACACTAAAATAAATTAATTTTGGTCATTAATCATGCCAAACATATTATAACAATGCTTCTTCCTTACCCACTTAAAAAGTTGCACAGAACATTACATTCATAATACTCATATTTTCCAACATTTTTGAAAGAAATAAACCGTACTATTTGCCATAAATTAAAAAAAATTATTATTTATAACAACTCGAAATTTTCCTTGAACTTTATGTTATTAAGAGTACACTATAGTTACATGTGGTAATAATCCAAAACAATGTTATGATCCAGAGACCAACTTAATGTTATATATATTAGAAACTCGGAAAAAATAAAATTTTAAGGTAATAATTATTAAAAAACAAAAAATTTCGAAAAAACGATAATTGAATAAAATTATTGGATTTGTCATAATTTTCTTGACTCACTTGAATATATATATATATCAAACTTTAAATTATATTTTTAGATACTTCCTGTGACAGCTATAAAGTAAGCCATTAACTTCAAGTTTTCGTTAATTAAATTATAGTATTATTTATATTGGAATTAAATTTTTATAAAAATTTTTATTAATATATAATACATAATTTACAGTTTCACAGCTAAGCAGTTATTAGTCTAATGTAATAACACACAATACAGATCTTGAATTTTCCTTTTCTGTGTGATTATTTGTTCCAGGATCGGACATAAGATCTGGGTTTTTTGATTCTGAAATTGTAATATTAGGAAGATATCGAAAAGTATTCAATAAACTAGATGGCTCTAACAGTGATTTATCAGGCTCATCATGTAATGTAATAATAGGTTGATAATCAGAGCTAGTTGATGGTGGTGATGAACCACTTTTTACACTTAGATCTAATACTAAATCTTCATCAATGTCATGTTTTTTTGATAAATTATTAGGTTCAGCGTCTACAATATTTTCAGATTTTATAGATGGTTCATTACTAGTACAAGGACTATACTTAGAACGTTTACTTTTTGGTTCTTCTTCTAAATCAGACTCTGAATCAGACAAAGTAAATACTTCAATATTATTAGAATGATTTGATTCCATTGCTGAACTTTTTTCTTTTGGTTGTTTAACAATCCATGTTCCATCTTTTTGTAAAATGATATTATCACATTCATCATCTATTTTTGGACTTTGAACAATATCTAAGAAAAATCCATCAACTTCAATATCATCAAAATTTACTTTTTTTTTACAGAGTGGACAACTCCATGTTTGTTTTTGTTCATTCATTTGAAGAAATTGAATTGCATCAAAACATTGCATATGTATACAATTTACACCTCTTGCAGGCAATTCCATTTTTTTTTTACTTAATGGATCTTTAACTGTAGCTATCAATGAATCTACTCCCATGTCCTGATCATTTTCCATGGACTTTTTAATATTTTCTTTTGTTTTTTCAGGATCACGAACAGGTTTTTTTTTTAAATCTTCCAAAAGTTCATTCCACATAAGTCTTTGAGCTACAAATACACCAGCAATATATTCATGCGGCTCATCAGACCAAGTTATTCGCAATGTATTTTGTAAACAATTTCTTAAATCTGTTTGTTGTGTGATATCAATAGGGACATTGCATCGCCAAGGAGTTACTCCCGCCTTAGTAGGAATATTTAATGTTGGTAGTTTACATAACCGATCATTAACAGAAACATTAATGTTATAAGGTAATCGTTCAGTAACATTTTCATTACGATCAATTTGGGCCAATCTCAATATTATTTGTATTTTATATTCTTGTCTTGCTATGTTCCAAGATTTGACTATTGAATGTCTCACACTATCAGCGAGATAAAAGAGACCAGTGAAATTACCTTTGTCGGCCGTATTTTGACAATGCATAGGTGATAGTAATGTATCCATCATTTGATAGAAAGGTAAATTTTCAAAACTTGTGTCTGTGGTGGATGATAGTTCATTAGTAGTAGGAACAGGCATTGGATGTGATGGCTGAAGAAAAAAACCTTGTAGAAAGTTTTGCTGATGTTGAATTTGTTGAAGTCGTTGTGGTAATTGTTGATGCTGTCGTGTACAACTTGAATGTTGTGGTTGTCTAGAGTCATATATTTGTAAGATTTTTTGTTTTAAAGATCTAGTCTTAGAATTGGGACCTGTTAGAAGATTTAAAACTCTTTTTCGCAAAGATTGTTTGCTGCCCGTTTTGTTATGTTTAAACGATTCCAATATTATTTGTAGTTCATTAAGTCTTAGTTCATATACCAATTGATGAATATATTCAATATCAGACTAAAAATAAACAAAACATTAGTAAGTAAAAAAGTACAATCAAAATTAACATAAATAAAAAAGTAATATTTTATAAAACAGAAGCATATATTTTATTACAATTAAATGCATTTATTCATAATAGCTGATGAATAATTTATTAATAATACAAATCATGAAATAAAATAGTCAGTAGGGTAATATAATTGACATCTAATAATGATGATAATTTAATAGAAAATTAATTAATAACAATCAAATTTTTAAGTCAAAATTTATATATATCTGTAAGCCTAAGAAAAAGAAGCGCTTTGTAAAATTATAAATTCAAGAGAAATAAGAGAAAAGCTTTTTATATAATTTACATGATAGACAGAATAAAAATAAACATCAATTAAATTATTAAAATAACAATTAAGATATTCATGAAAGTCATTATTTTAAAAATAAAATTTTTACTTACTATCAATGAAGGATTTATCGAGTGTGCCATAATAATTGTAACTAAAATTTATTTAAAATAAAATTATTAAATTATATAGAAAGCATTTCAAAACTGAACAATAAGTTAATAAAATATATTATTTTAATATATTTAAAAATATATTAAATTGGTAGAACTAAAAGTGGAAATATAATTAGAAGAGGATACATATCACAAAAAACGGATAGAAAAATAATGGTCTCTTCAGTAAAACAACGATTATTTTTTTAATTTGTAAACATAGGAATAAATAACCACAGATCTTTTGCATTTAATCTCAATGCAAGATATCGAATTAAAAAATACTAATAAACTACAATCATTATTATCTATTCGTCAAATATACCCATCTAACTTATCTTGTAAATAAGATCTATTGAAGATTTAGCTATAGGTTATCTATCAACTTCAGAGTCGCCTGGGCATCGTGATCCAAATTTTAATGATAACTGATATAGGTCAGCTGAGATTCGTTTGCATTTTTAAGTGATTGAAACATATTTAATCTCATAGTTATTTCATATTTTATATTAATAAAATAATTAATTAAAAAAAAAAAATAAAACATTTTATTTTTTCATTTTTTATATTAAAGTGAGAAAATTAGTATGAAAATATCGTATTAAAATTACACTGGGGATTTTATGTTAGAAACATATAGCCATAGAAATACAAAGTTTAGATCTTCTAAAAATGTGGAAATTAACATTATCGAATAAATTCTTATAGTGAATATTATATTTAATAGCCTCCAAACATATTTTTAATTGATGTATGTATCTTAGACAAAAAATGTTAAAAATGTTCCCAATCAGATTATCCTACTAAATTTAAATGTATTTGATTAATCTATGGTTTGATACTTCAGATAATTTTTCTTATAGTTATTATAAATTAAATCTAAAATGTAGTTATTATCATATTATCTATAATAATTGAAACGATTCACAATTAGTGTTGAAATTAATAGAATATTTCTCACTTGAAAAAAGTGTTTGCGAATTAATGTATAATTAAGTTGGTTATACCGCATTAATTCAAGATTTTTAGTCTTATCATTTTCTCGGTAGTCTCAAACGAACTGACTTTTTTATGAGTATTCATTTAGTTTACAATCATTCATTTTTCTTGTTTTGGCCTCAAACAGTGTTATCAAAATAATTCCCTTCGTAATTGCTTTAAGGTTTTTCAATGATTATTAAGCCAAAAAAATATTTCTAATAAAGACACTTAGTAATTTCTCAATAAAATGTATGTAAATAATATCTTAATAGTATCTTAATGTAGTAGAAATAAGAATGGCAAATTCACTTTTTTGTAGCATTTAGGCATTCATGCATACACTGTATAATAATGATTCTATTTCTTTTGTTGAAATTATTTATTTAGTACGAAGTATTTAACACTGGAGGCGCTGAAATACTGTACTGCTACCCAAAAATTGAACACGCCTGACATCGAATTTTATACCGGCTTGCGTCAAAGTAATCGATTAGTGTCACATATTCCAAATTATTAAATATTTTTCCTTTAATAATTTTTTCCGAATTTTGATCAGATTTTACAAAATACAATTATGGGCGTTGACGTAACCTTTACAAAAGAAGGCGATGGTAAGTCTCTAGATTCTAATTAATTATGCTCAAACAATACATCTTAATGTCGGACATTATTAATCTAATACCTCGACGATATGTTTATAGACATAATTTAAATGTTAACAGGTGCTACTTTTCCCAAAAAGGGACAAACTGTTCATGTTCACTACACAGGTACGTATTTTTATAGAAGCAAATAGTAATTGAATTAATTGTATCTATTACTAATTTATTAATATTTTAATTATTTATGGATTTCTGAGAAGCATGTTTTTTAATACTGAAAGGTTAATAAATTTTACCAAGTTGTATCATGTTAATTTAATAGTATAATCTATTTTTTGTTTTTTTTATTCATACAAATTTATAATAGACACGTGAGTTATCTATTAATTGTGGACAACATTTACATGTTGTCTTGACATTTTATAAAATATAAAAAATATTTACAGATAGTTTAAGTTAAATACAATTTGTGTTAAATTATATACTTAAATAAATCACATTTTTAGAGAGTGCCAATATATTTGTTGGTTCTTTGCCATCAATATGCAATTGAAAGAATGTACAAATATGCTTGCAAATTTTTTCATTTTTAAAAAGTCTTCTATTTTCCCTAATATCTAAGTATTAAACTTAATAGTAACCATTTACAGAAACAATTCAGGACATTAAATTCTCTAATTTTTATCTTAATTTAATTTAAAATGCTTGTTTATTCAATGGAATTTTATTTAGGAACATTAACTGATGGAAAAAAATTTGATTCCTCACGAGACCGCGGTAGACCTTTTAAATTTAAGATTGGAAAAGGAGAAGTTATCAAAGGGTGGGACGAAGGTGTAGCCAAAGTGAGTTTTTATAAATCATCCAATTATTATTCATTAAATATGTATTTTTTACATTTTAGATGAGTGTAGGATCACGTGCTACATTGACTTGTTCACCAGATTATGCTTATGGTGCTTTGGGTCATCCTGGTGTTATTCCACCCAATGCTACATTAATCTTTGATGTTGAACTTATTAAATGCGAATAATTTTACATTTTTCTATGTAATAACTAATATTTATTTAAAAGAAAATCCATCTCTAAGACTGATGATAATTTCTTTCATGATCAAATCAACAATTATGCTATTTCTATTTAGTTGATTTTTTATTATAATTATTAAAAAGATTCAGTACCTCTCAAAGTATATTATGTTTTTGGTGAATGTTGTACAATATTACATTAACTTGAAAATAGTTGTAAAAAATAGACAAAGTTTCTAATTTTCTTTAAAATAAATCATACTTATTACCAATTCCAGTTTAATTTATTATACATTAAAACAATATGGAATATTATGGTCTGATGACCCCCCAAGGTTTATCATTTTAATACCAACAATATGATTGTACTCTATATTTTGTTTAAAAAAATAATTTTATTTAGTAGATTATACATATATTTTTTTAACAAATAATATATTTCAAATATATTATTTGAAAGTCTAGATTTGTTAAAAGGGTTTATTTTTAATGATTTTGAGCAATTTTATTATGGTAAAAATTTTAATTTTTCAATTAAATAATAAGAAATAAGATTTATTATGTTTTAAAAATAAAATGAAAGTTTAATACTTACTAGAAAATAATAAATTGATTTATATATCTTTTTAATATGGATGATCAAATTATTTGCTAACATTAAATGTAAAAATTATATTTTAATTGATAAGGACATTAAGTTTTTTTTCAATAATATAAGTTAGCAAATGATTACATATTCAGAGAAAAAATAATTTATTTACACTTAAGTTGTGATAATTAATTATTCTTAGGCATATTCAGATATTAGGATAACAGAAAAAATTAATTTTTTTATTTAATAAATTAAACTAAAATGAGCTTTAATTTTAGGCATTGGACAATATGACAAGCTTGAGATATTTTACCACCCTTATACATTTTTTATAAGATCGTTTGATATACATCCAAATTTCAAACTTTTTTATGGAGTGTATTGCTTTTGTTATTTATATTTTACTTAAATAATCAAAATACTTTGCTTAATGTATTAAAATAAAATACAGTATGTATAATGTTAACTTATTCTTTAGAATTAAAAATATAAAATTTACTAGATTTACAATTTAAAATAATTGTGAATGTGATAATACATTTTAATTGAATTATTCAGTCATTTTGTATATTAATTTATCTGTTAAGAAATCATATTACTTCTGGCAAAATTTCTAATTAAGAAAATAAGTAATGTTCTAGATTACATAAAAATTTAGAAATACAAACGTAAAAAGTGTACACAATTTATTTAAAAATAAAATAAGACTTTCTACTTAAATTTTATAACCATATCAACATTTTTTCAAATAATTTTTCCTAGGGTGGTTTTCACAAGCTGTTGGACCACCTAAATGTTTATTCCATTCTTCCAGATCACTTCCTATATCCACCATACATAATGGACATGTGTTACATATTGATTTACGTTCTGTCAGAATGAATATATTATTAAACTTAATTACTGATTAGATAAACTATAAATTATAACTAAAGTAAATTAACTGAATTAAAAATTTTATTAAAAATATTAAAATTTAAGTAATTACTTATACACGCAGGTCCCAACACATGATGTTCTAAAATATCATTTTTGACCACTTCCAAACATAAATCACATGTCGTATAATTGGTCTTACTATCGCAGTCTTCTGCAATCAAATATTGAGGAATTATATTATTTTATTAAAAAGTTAAAATAAGATTTGACGAAGAAACAACAATAACAGTGCACTCCATCTTTGGTCTATCAAGATCTACTAAAAAAATATATATTGAACGATAAAATAAGCAAAAAATAAATTTTGAAGTCTAAAAAATTTTTATGCATTTGAAAAAATGTTGGATCCAGATCTGGGGATCTAGACTATAATTTCTTTCATTATTTTAAGTAGACCGAGAACTTTTTTTGTTCGGATGAGCTTTATTAGGGATGTATTTTATATTACTTTTTAAAGTATTTAATATAAACCAGCGATGCATAATAAAATTAAAAATAAAAAACAAAATTAGTGTATTTTTATCTTCAAATTTATAACGTTTAAAGTATGATTTAATCATAATTAAATTTTAATAGCCTATTGTCCCTCATATGTTTCAGAGTACCTCAGCGAGCAACAAGAAATAATGCTCCATTTGTTGTCTCCCACTACCCAACTAATTATGCAAAAAATGAACCACTTAGGCGTCTTATGTCTAATGCCAATGTTGACCCTAATTTTTCATTTTAATTTTTGTATTTTTCTTTACGTTTAATAATGAATTTACATATTTTTAGTATATATCTTTGTCTATGTTACGATTACCTAATTTATGTACTTGTATTATTTGTAAAAAAGGCTTCTGCCCGTGAAATTATAAAATAAATAAATAAATAATTTTGAATACATTAATTCTTTTAAAAAAGTATTATCAATAAAACATAGTATAGTAATACAAAATAAAAATATCATGTCTTTTGTAGGACAAAATGTAATTAAGGTAGGGCAAGGAAACGTTATAATTATAACGCGTTTAAAACGAAAAATTTTGTCAAAATGTAACCAAAAAAATGAAAAACAAATAACCAAAAATATTGGATATAATAAATGTAAAATATTGTCAGTGTATAACATAATACAATTTATAACGTAAATAAGTACTATACATAATTCTTTTAACTTTAATTGTTTTTTAATGTATCTTTTATCATTTTCTACGACGACTAAGAAAAGTAAACCTATACATTAACTTTATGAATATGAAAAATATATTTGTACGTCTAAATTCACTGTATCTATTGCCATAAACTAGAATACTATTATTACCATTATTGTCTATTATATTTCATTAAACTAAGAGGGAAGCAATTTATTAAATAACGTAAAAAAAAAGGCAATAACATTATATGAAGAGTGAATGTGTCAAACGTTCTATGTGCCAAAAACATATTTGTTCAGAAAACACAAAAAACGATGGTAACATGGGCATGTCTCACATAATGAACACTATCTATGAATGAAATTTTGTACAAGTAAAAAATTTAATTGACATTTGAAACACATACAAGATTGTGGCCTTTGGTACATAGAACATAAATCAGAAATAAAACAATTTTTCACTTTTTTGGCACATAGAACGTTTGACACATTCACTCTTCATATATAGTGTGAGGAGACTCCCCTGAAAATTTTTTGTATACGTTACTGCATGTAAAACAGTTCTTATAAAAAAAAAAAAGAAAATACTTTTTAAATTTTATATTTTATAAAATTATATAAGAAAATAATAGTCTTTGTCCCTAATTATAACTGTTTATCGTAATGAATTATGTTTCGAGTTCTTAAACGTTAAACGTAAAAATGAAGTAACAACAAAAGAAAAAAATGAATAACATTAAAGTATTTGTTGATCCGATTAAAAAGTAAAAACCGAAAAAATATATAAAACTGATACAACAGCACAATTACAAATTTTTCTGGGAGTTTTGATATTTTTAAAATTTTTATGAAAAAAAATAATGAAAATAACTAATTAGAATTACTTTTGGAAGGCGGGTACAACCACTTCTACCAGTTTGGTTAAATGAGATGGTAGCATAAATAGAAAAGTAATATGATCATACAGGGTTTAAAGCACGGGCAATCCAGGCGATTACTCGGGGCGAGATTTAAAAATTTTTAGTTATTAACATTATTAATCAAAACTTTTTTATAAGGGAATCTAGTTTTTAAGGAATCAAATTATTTTACTTAGCAAATGATGGCGTAATCCCATTATTTCAATTACTTCAGAGCAATGTTCACATCTCATTAATAGTGGACAATATTTCCAAAAATGAATGTTCAATTCTTCCTCCGTAAACAATGAATCCTCTTTACAAAATGTGCATCGACTGTAAAAAGAAAATATTTTTGTATCAAATATGACATTGATTAATATTGGCAATGGTCCAATAACTAGTGCTCTTATATCTACAACTATCTTAGAAATAAATTTCCAATTACTAGAAAAATATATACTTACTGGCATTTTAAGAAACCATTCTCACTACTATTTCCTTGGAAATCATTTACACTGGCTGAAGAGCTTGAGCTTAATTTATTGGCATCATTAGTGTTAGAACCATTTTTAGTGTAATCTTTATTTTGAGAATAGGATGAATGGTTTTCACTTGTTGATCTAACTAATTTGCATGGGGCGTTATTATTCGTACTCAACTCACATCGTTTCTAAACGTATTAAATTTATTATTAATTTGTATAAGGCTAACAAAAAATTCGTCGTTTCGTAGGTGTTCTCGAAATCCAAGAGTTGTGTATAATTAGTGGCGTATTTTGGATTTTATAATTTTAGGGTATATTTTAAATAAAAAAAAATTTTCTAATACCTTCTTTAATATATCAAAATTTAGATTTTTTTGGGCCTCAAAAATTATAGCACCAGCATTAAATACGTCAAATACCCACCAAAACATCTCTTATTATAAATATATATACATTAATATATTTTTAATTTTTAGCCTTATAAATTTGATTATTTTTTATTCTTTCAGAACTAGATCTTAAAATAAAGTAAAAAGTAGGGTTGAGAAATAAATTTAGATATAGTTTAAATAAATTTATTCCGGATTATGGATTGAAAAAATGTTCTTAACTCTATTAAAAACTAGTGATGGGCATTTTCGAATATTTTAAACAATCGAATAGTTTTAAAAACTATTCGAATATATTGTGTAACTAAAGAATATTTTTACTATTCAAATAGTTTTTTAATTACTATCGAATAGTTCGATAGTTATTATTCGATGTTTCCCATCACTAGTAAAAACCATTCCATAAAGCATATTGTTTAGAAATGTTTCCCATGTAAATAATCTGTTAACAATTGTTATTTGGTATTTCCTGATTAACTAGTTTAATATAACAAAAATAAAAATATTTCTTATAATTTTTAATGAATGTCATTATGCCTATTTTAATGTTGGTTGCATTTTTATATAACTGTTATTTCTACAACTTATCAAAAAAAAAATATGTGTATTATAATTGTGTCTGAATGGATTGAATAAAATTTTAAGTTTATCGTCGATGCAATTATGTAGGTGACTCATAATAGTATAAAAAAAATATTAACTTCTATATCAATTCGTGTAAATTCTTGCATTAGTTGTCTGTATAAAATATTTCTTCTAGTGATTTCGTCATCGGGTGGTAATTGTTTTCGAACAAATCGTGGATTAACTCTGTAAACGTGTAATAAAATTCTTTCTGCTGCTTTGCGAACGGCTTCTGTTGGATGATGAATAGCTGACATGCTAAATTCGCATAAAGAGCGACACGTCATTCCACTGTTTAACACATTAAATGTATTGTTAATTATTTGTTTTATATTATACTCATTAAATTGTAAGGTTTTCTAAAATAAAAATTGTATGTTTAACTATTTAAATGTCCATCACAATGTCAATTTTTACTTAAAATCTAAGAATGTGTTGATAAATAACTATAGTATTTAAACACATAATGTAATTTTTTGTGTTATTATAACAATTTTTAAAATTGACAGTGTAAGTGTAGAAAACATAAACATGTTCATCTAGGATGAAATGTAAAAAAAATAAATGATCTCATGTGGATCATTCCCCCTCTTTACACCACCATTTGTGATTAAAACATTCTAATATTACAATGTTTATATGATATATTTAAAAAATACAAAATGAGCAATTACCTGTTCTTATCTGAAGATACGCCTTGGCTTACAACTAGTTGTTCTGTCATTTCCAAGCGACTTAGTATTAATCTTGGGTGTGTGTTTCCAGTGAACAAACGGGTAAGATGTGTTTGTATGATATTTAGATTTCTGTATAAAATATTATTTTGGTTTTAGTCAAACATACTATGCGTTCTTGAATGTATTTGATTTATTTATCAAAGATTTTCACCTTATTTCGGGCACGTCGGCTATACTCAAAATCGTGTGTATCGCAATGTTGTGTATTCTTGGAGTAGTATCGCCAGATTTAGCTAGTAATTCCGGAAGTAAAGTCTCTACACTTCGTGACACTTCGCCGGTAGATACCCTTATTATAGACATTATCAATTAAAAAATAAAACTTATATAATTTTTATAAAAAATTCTTTTCGATTAATGTTTTACCTTCCTGGGATGAATTCAGAAAATATAAATCGTATAATATCAGCAGATAAATTATACACTGCAAATACTTTGTCTCTTAAAGTGCGATGAAGTAACTGAATTGCAGCTCTTGTCATCTTGTTAGGCGAATGATGAGAATTATCGTTGGCTATGGAATCTTTTATAGTACCTTCCATTTGTTTTAAACCTTCTACTTTGTCAGAATATTGTTTAGAAAAGAAATGTTTAACCTAAAAATTAAAATTTTTTTTTAGAAAATAAATAATTGCTCAATTGGTATTAACTTTAAAATACATGTTAAAACTCAATGTTTCCCTCTAACACAAAAATATATTACCACTGAGAGTCCGAAAACAGCTATAGGGATTGAAACTTGCTTTTTGTCCCTTTCACTCAATTTTGATGAAGCCAAACTTCCATTTAATTGCGCAGTGTTTAAATCCTGATTATGCTGAGTTTGGCAACTGAAAACGCATATTGCAGTCATATATACAGCTAGTATTATAAGTGTAAGTACACTTACAATCTTTGTGCAGGAATGGCTTGTTCGTCGTATGCTTCGTAACTTGTTTTATTTAATTTGGATCGAACTGGTTTTGGTCTTCTAAATGATATTGATTTAGATACTAATGTTTGTTGCATTTTTGGCGATCTGCTACGAACAAATTATTTATATTAAGTTAAGTATCACTTTATGTACATTTATAATAGTTTTGGAACTTATGTCTTATCAATAAATTTAGATCAATTTGCAGTAGAAGTAATTACCTCTCTCTTGGACTATTTTCAGGGTAATGAAGCGGTGACACAGGGCTATGATAGATATCTGGTTCATCTGGTAATTCAATATCAGATTTTTCTGGACGGAATTCTTGTTTCGATTTTTTGTCATCTGTATCTTTAGATAAAATAGGTGGCGAAATTATACCCATTGACTTAATTGATTCACCGGTTATTGAGTTTGGAGTCATTCCTACTAAGCCATCAGGCTCTTCATCGTTAGCCGTTAAAACCTATAAAATATATATATACATTGAATTTTAAATTACATCACATTTTTTATTTGTTTTTTCATGCCCCGTTTTTTTCTAAAAGTTCTTCTATACAGTTTTCGGTTAAAACTTGAGATCTGTATTCTTCCATTTGAACTTTTTTCTTTTTTGCTTTCGAATAGTCTTCATTTTGAATGGCTTGGTTTTTCGATAGCTCTAATTTTCCTAATTTTTCACCTGCTGTTCGCAGTTCAGTCATTGCTGCTTTTAATTTTCGAGCATATTCAAATCTTTCATCTGTATAATGTAAGTAAATGATGACTTGGTTTTAGAATTTAGCTTCTCATAAATGTAAATACTTTCAAAATAGACAAATATTAAACATTTTACCTAAGACGGCTTTTGACTTCCTTTGTTCTAGCGATCGTATAATAGAAGCTATTTGCTTATCTACATACATTTCAAATGCCAAATCATCACAAATTGAGCTTTGTACATATCCATTAACTTGTTCTCCACTGTTCAGTTTTTCACCAAAAACTTGTACTCCAATTAAACTTACCTAATGAAACGCAATAATTTTTTAGTTTTTTTTATAAAATAAAATGAATCAATATAAGAATATGCAATTAAACCTGGTTAAAACGATTTAAAGTGTTTTGGTGATTTTCGTATAACATTAGTTTTATTAAACTAGTTGGACTTGCTAATGGTAAAGAAATCGTTTTTAACTCTCGACTTTTTACTTGACCACCATCGTTGTCATTTAAAGTAATATAACCTAAGTATTCAAAAGCTTGTGAATTTAAGTTATCCACTTTGACACTTTCTTCTGGGTCAATCCATATTTCTATTTTATTTGCTAAAAAAAAATCAAATAAAATGAGTGATTATTTAAAATAACAAATATTTATAATAAATATCATAAAAATAAGTGATAAGGATCATAATTCCTATTAATTTATCAGTCTCCGGGCTGATCAAGTTATCACATTTTTTTCAATAGCCTATTTAGCTCTTAGCGCCCCTAGGCTGTCATTCTCCCATTACCTAGTTAACAGTATTTCGTTGATAAATATTTTAAGACGATTTTTATTTATGTTCAAATTTTACTTACAGTATTTTTTAAGAATACGGGAAAATTGTTAAACATTTTTTTAAATAAATTTAATAATTATTATGAACTAATAATACCAATAAAGCCATATCCCAAAAAATGTTGCCCTAGGCAACGGCATAATTAGCCTAAATACGTTACTGATTTTAAATTATTTTTGAAAGTGTTACGTTAAATTAGGTTAAAAGATAACTTATATACAACTTATACTTGCATGTCTTTCTTTTTTTTTAATTTAGTTAAGTTAACTAGAAGAAAAACTTTACCTTTATTTTTATATTATTGTAATATGTTTAATTTAACATGTTTAATATTATTGAAGTTAAAAAAGTAACGTAGTTAAATTAAAAATTAAATCTACTAATACACTAACAATTTATTTTACTTAATTAAATTAATTTAATATTTTAACATTTTAACATGTGAATATCGAGCATTTTAAATCTCAATACATAATTTGTTTATAAAAGTGCGAGTATATAAAGTTTAAAAATTTGTCATAAAGTAAAAAAAAAATTATTGATAAACAATAAAAAATACTTGACCAATTTATAAAATTATATTCAATTAATAATATATTATTAAAATTGTCATAATTTTGTTTGGAAAATTTTTGTAAAATACTTACAAATTAAATATTGATGAGATAATATTTGAATTTGATAAATTATAGTTGGTTCTTCAAGCTTAAGTATTAATTCTTGTGGATACTCACAATTTCTGGAAGACCTCCATCCTTTAACCGTTGGGCCGTGATGGTTAAGTTCAGAACTTAAGTAATTTGTATCTTCACCTTTAAAACATTTTTAATAATGTAATTAGATTAGTAATTATATTATTTTATTTTATTTTACTTTTTTGTCAAATTTTAAATTATTTTTGGGGTATTATTTGAAATTAAATAAAAATGATAAATATTTGTTGAAAATTCTCACTTGTTTTATAAACTATTGTAAACTCTACTTTTCCTTTTGACATTATTTACTCGTTGAATTGTAATTGCAAAATAAGCTAACCTAATAATAAAAAAAACTGATTATAATAAATTAAGTATAACTGACTTTAAAATGCGAGGAATAATGAGAAAGATAATATATTTCTTTAACATTATTTAATAAAGAAATTGAATTTTATACATTATAATAAAACAAATGAACTACAGCTGATATAGTTAAGTAAATATTTTTCTATAAAAATATAATAATTAATAAATATTAGTATAGAATATGTTTAATACTTATAAGTATAATGTACAAATAAAATTTTGACATGTAATTTTTATAAAAAAAAAAAAAATTAAAAAAATTAAAAAAATTGCTGTACCTGTTTATAATTTGAGCGGCATTAGACTTTCGTCTGACATAGTTGAATTATTGTTCTTACTTTATAAAAGTATTCATTATTTTTATATTGTACTTTTAGTTTTATTTTACAGTTTTAGAAAATCAATCAATTGTAAAAGTATACCGATAGCACGCAACATGTTTTTGCTTACTACTTTTTGCTTCGTTCTATCATTTCTTAAAATGCTTCAAAATGCGTTTCTTTAGTTTTCCGTTTGGTGCGCCTGTAACGTTTTATGATACTACAGAATGTACAACTGCAAAAGCAAAAGGCAATCAATAAAGTTCGCCACTACACTGATGCGCCCTTTTTTCGAAGGGTAGGAAATGCAATACAAAATACGGCGTCAGTAAGACTGTTAGCTTTTAACATTACATTAACAAAGTAATACTTTTTTGACAATACCTTTGATAATAATTGTTAAAATTTCTATTTTTTAATATAGGAATGTTATAATATACAAATAATATTTCAATAAAAATAACAGTATTTTGATTTAGACTTCACTGTTTTAAGTCCACTGCAAGTCAGAATTTGAACAAGGAGGTTATCATTATGGCAATTTTGACTGATTGTAGTGGCGTCATTTTAAATTGTCATAGAGTAGAACAATAAACTTATGGCCTTTAATTTAATAAAACCACTTGTTTCGCCTAATAAAGTTAGCTCATCATTTATTTTTATGTTACCAGTGTATGCTATTCATTAAAATAAAATTATGAACATAAATCTTTTAATAATTTCAAAAAATAAAACCCAACCCAGCACAGGGGGGTCGCGGCACAGTGGTGACGTGGTATAGTTGGATCAAGTATAATGATATCTGACAGTGATTAAAATCACTATCAAAAACAAACGCTTCGATGCAAATCTTTAGATAGTGTTTAATTTAAAAAAAATTGGTGTTTTATTCCAAAAGCTACTTGATCTGCTGGTTCCTTATTAATATCTCGATTAAGATAAAATATGTCGAATGAAAAAGGGTTTATTAAAAAATATTATTTCTCATAAAAAAATTGTGTGGAGCCATAAACTTTTCAATAATNAAAAAATTGTGTGGATCCATAAACTTTTCAATAAGTTATAGCATTATAAAGTTAAATATTATATAAATAATAAAATCGAGAATTTTCACACGAAAATAGCATTCGGTAGCCATTTTCGCCGTGAAGACAAGTCCAGAGGTCAAATTTTTCTTTTTCAAATTAAAGTAAATTACATTAGCTTTAATTCAAGATACATATAAAAGTGTCAGACCTTCTGAAACATTTTCAAAAGTTAAGTTGAAAACGTTAATTTTTTGTGAAAAAGTTGTCATTTTAAATCCCCTCCTGTGGGCAGAAAAAAGGTCAAATTTACAAAAAAAATATACCAAATGATAGGTAAAGACATCAACCATCTATATAAAAAA